GAAGCCCCTTCCTCTGGGCCAGGAGCAGTGGGACAGAAGGTGGCCCAAAAGCCCTTTCCCCTGGCCTGGGAGCATCAGGAGGGATAGTGGCCGGGAAGCCCCTTCCTCTGGGCCAGGAGCAGTGGGACGGCGGCTCAGAAGCCCCTACCTCTGGGCCGGGACCCACAGGACTCAGTACCGTGGTCTAGTGGTCTGGTGTCCTCTGCGTCTTTGTAGTGTGGAACCAGGTGGCTGCCTGTCTGCAGTGGGGTGATTCGGCGTCTTCCCTGTGACTCGGGACCTCGGTAGGGCATGTGCAGACCTGCCTGTCTGCAGCGGGCTGATTAGGCATGTTGGCTGTGACTCGGGACCTCCGTAAGGCGTGGGCAGACCTGCCTGTCTGTAGTGTGGTGATTCGGTGTGTTCTGCACGACTTGGGACCTCGGTAGGGTGTGGGCAGACCTGCCTGTCTGCAGCATGGTGATTCGGCATCTTCCGTGCAACTCGGGACCTCGGTAGGGCGTGCACCATACAATGGAAGATTACACTTCAATAAAAGAATTAATTCTCTTAGTTCACAATTCAACAAAATGGCAGTCTCTAGTTGGCTGGCTGCAAAGCACGGTGGAATTGTACAAGGCCATGGCAGAGGAGAACCACCCCGTGACATGCCAATCAGGAAGCAGTGATATTACTTTCTTAATGGGTGATCTTAAGTGCAAGTGTGAAGTCTCCCAGAGCTTACTCCCTTCCTAACTAGCAATGACCCTGTTATTCCTTCCTGACTGCCAGGCAGCCTACATACTTATACCTGCCTGGAGCTAATTGAATGTAGGAAGGTAGAGAACATATTTGGGCCCTTGATTTCTATATAGGAGGAAGTAAGCATCCTTCATAATCTCCTGTCCGTGTTGATAAATCTCTCCATTCTTTACTATGGAGCCATTCCAGTTGCTGCCACAAGAAAGATTTTTTTTTTTTTTAGAAAATGTCTTAACTCTGAGCAGGTCATTTCCTACTCCTTTTTTTCCCCATGAAATATGTAATCTAATTACCTCTTATTCTAATAGAAGATAATGGGGTTATTGCCTTGTATAGGTTCTTACTTCTTTCTTAATGTTTATTATCTGCCTAAACTTAGGGGGATTCCTAATAATGTGGCTTTAAACTAGCCTGCTAGGCGTAACTATTTTATGATCATAAATTCTTTAATTTTTTTTCAAAATCAGAATCTAAATCCATGTCAACACCATCTTTCTCCCTCTCCCCAAGGCAAATTATAGGTTCACTTTTGTGCTGTGTTATCAGACTATCTGGTATGCATTACCTGAATCCAAAGGTAGATTAATTGTGACCTTGCAATGTTGATGATTTCTGAGTGCTTTTAACAAGAATGAGAGATAGTACTTAATTTGATGGCTGACTTTCTTTCAGCCACCATCTGAGAAAGTGCGCTAGTCAAGTGAACAATTTTCTCTACCCATTTTGTGGCAAATTATCATGATTGTTGTGTATTCTGTAGCTTTTGAGCAGCATATTCTCCTAATGCCTCAGAATAGTTTTTGTGGCTGAAAGTTGAAATGATCTCTGCTTATAGACCAGATAACAATGGAAGAGTATTACCTGCCTAGGAGAAAGTGGAGAGTTAAGAATTTCAGTATAAAACCTAGTCCAGTATTTGTGGCATGCATGACTTTAAAATACGAGCTTTACTTTTTTTCCTTGAGGTTTTTAGGGTATGATCATTGGACTGAAAATTGGCTGGAGAAGCATCAGCATAAAGGTGTAAGGTTTGGATTTAAGGGCACATAGTTAGCTATATTTCTCAGTAATGGGAAATTATTGAACTAGAGACTGTCACATGAGTATTTGGTGTGTTTGTGTTGTTAGGACTAATGTACTCATCAGATAATTGGATCAAGTGCTGGGCATCAGGGTGGGAATATCCTATGAAATTTAATGCTCATTTATACCTGTTGTTAAGAGTGCTTTCTTCTTTCTCCTTCCCTTAGCAAAAGTTTCACCAATACTGAAATATGGTAGCTTACATATAAAAATGAAAATTGCATTGTTATGTAGTTACTTTGTTCAGAACTTTTCTTTGTTCATCTGGTTGAAAAATGACTGAATTTGATGGGTTTTCATTTTTCTTTTAGGCTCAGTTTATGAACCTCTTAAAAGCATTCATCTTCCAAAACCTGATAATGAAACTCTGTGGGATAAATTGGATCATTATTACAGAATTGGTGAGCAGAACTTGAGGAAAACATGGTAGCTCTGATTAGTATTCACTGTGCCCTAGCTATTGTGTACGTTATGTAGATGATATTATTGTATTGTTTGGATTTTGGGATGGTTTCAAGCTTAGTTAGGCTGCTATGTATTCCATACCAAGACTGCAAAAGGAATCCAGCAGGTCATACCTGGCCCTTGAATAACTTTATAACTATCACTAGTATCTTCTGTGTTTTTTAAGCCTTACTAGGTTTTAGAACTTCAGGATATTTCTTCAATAATACACAGATATTTCATATATTAACCTGCTCACCTACCTATACATATATACATAAACCCTAGCCCTGAACCTTTTGTATGCCTTTCTAATTCACTGAGATACAAAAGGTAATCTCAGGTTACTATTTTTAATATCAAGTCTGGATTTTTCTTTTTCTTTATGGTACCGAGGATCGAACTTGAGTCTTGCACTTGCCCAGCAGGTGGTGAAACCACTGGGCTAAATCCCCAGCCCTTTTGTTTGTTTTTCTAGATTAACCTGGCAATTGTTTTCTAATGTGAGTAAATAGCTTTGAGATATGTACATATGGGACTCTTATTCTTCAGACTATACTTTGGAATATCTATTAATTTTTTTCAGGTTGTTTATTGTGCCATTTATTGTCCTATATGTCAAGTGGCAATAGGCAATTAATGTCCTATTATGGCAAAATTTTTTTTTGTCTCCAGAAATGTGGATTGGTTTTGACTTATTTTGATCTCATCGTAAACTTTATTTTAACTTATTTTTGGTTAAGATGCTACATGCATTCTTAAGTCACTCTTTTTATCTTCTTTTTTAGCAATAACTACCTAAAGAGAGCTAATTATAGTTTTAAAAGAAATGTCAATTATTTATTTTTGACTAGAAGGACCAAAGTAAATTTTACTCTATGAAAAATAATAAATATACTGATATTCTGAAAAAAAATGTTAATGATAAGATCAATTTAGACTGAGAGAAAATGAAATTTTAATTCCTTAGTCTGTATGAAGTATTTTAGACTTTTGAAAAGCTATCTAAAACATAGTCAATATATATTAATTAAGATTAGATTAATTTAATGAATTTTGAGACAAGCATTATTATCCATTTACTTAAACAGTTATCTTAGGTTTCTGTGACTGACACAAAATACCCATGAAAAACAACTTAAAGAAAGAAAGCTTTATTTTGGTTACCAGTTTCAAAGTTTTCAGTTCATGGTCAGCCAGCTCCATTGCTTTAGACCTATAGTGAGGCACAAACCTCTCCTGGCTGAAAGGTGTGGGAGAGGAAAGGTGCTCACTCTGTGGTGGCCAAGAAGCAAAGAGAGGGCAAGGGACCAGAGACAAGATAAACCCTTCTAGATTAAACCCCCAGCGACCCACTTTCTTCAATCAGACCTCATCTCTACAGCCGAATCAGCTTAGTGCCCCCAATTCCAAAAGCCCCACCATAGAATATGTGAGCCTAGTGGGGCACATGTTTGGACCAAACCAGAATAAGAGGAATAAAATCACTTTTAGGAAATGTAATTTTAGTATATTTGTTTTCTTATTTTAGCACACCAAAGATTATAAAAGATTAATTTCAAACTCGTTTAAGTAAATTGTTCACAAAGATTATTTACCAATGTCTTCATTCTATATAGAGATGGAATTCAGATTTTAAAATATTAAAGCATATCCTTAACCTGTACAATCTAGTAAGTAAAATGAACATACTTCTGTGAAGACCAGTCACAAATTAGTTCTCAGTGAAATACAGCATTCTTGCCTTTTTTATGGTGAATCTTCATCTTCCTAAATTTTTGATGATTGAGTTAGCTATATAATTTAGCAAATGTGGGATACTCTGTTGTAATTTGCTTTAAGTTTCCATATTGAACTAGTTATTTAGAAAAGATGTTGTGCTCAGATTTTTGGTTGATCTATTTTTCTCTGCCAAATAGTCTTAAGAATATTTGTATCATGTGTTCACATTAACCAGGATATGCTAATGGCTTTAAATTCTAATTAACTAAGTCCTTTTCTCCAAAGTAAAAAGATATTTTCATGGTGGGTGGCTTCCCACTTAGGCTGGAGCAACATGAAGTGCCTGAGTATCTTCAGATGTTTTATAGTATACCTAAGTTTGGAAGCAACAGAATTATTTAGAAGTAGGATGAGGTTATCAAAGATGTTTAATATATTCAGTCAAGGGAAATGGCTGGCTGTATGATTAATTTTTTTTTCTTATCTTCCACTATAGTCAAATCAACATTGTTACTGTATCAAAGTCCAACCACTGGTCTCTTTCCAACTAAAACATGTGGTGGTGATAAGAAGGCCAAGATCCAGGACAGTCTGTACTGTGCTGCTGGGGCCTGGGCGTTGGCGCTAGCGTACAGGTGAGCTGCTGTGGTATCGTCTAGTAATTCTAAGACTAGGTAATAAGAGTTTTGTCGGACCAAGGCAAATTGAGTAGCTGTCCTTCCACTCAATTGTTGATTACTGTGTGACTTGTGACTGCTCATGTCCCCCCTTAGACCTCTAAACCTTTTCAATTTATAAGGGCTACACAAGACCAGTTGTGATATTCTATGATTTTATGACCAATATTTTTTATCTTTAGTTTTCTCAAACAGCATTAATCTTTGGCAGAATAAATTACATAATCAATTCTCATTGAGTGGTTGGTTCAATCATAGAAGGAATTAATGGTAATTAATTTTGCAGATGATAAAATTGCAGTTAATAAATTTGTTTAGCTGGGTGTGGTGGCACACACCTGTAATTCCCAGCACTTGGGAGGCTGAGGCAGAAGTATTGCTATGAGCTTGAGGCCAGCCTGGGCTACATAATGAGTTCAAGCCCAATCTGAACTACTAGTGAGACTCTGTCTCAAAGAATGAAAATTAAAAAAATTTAAAAATTAATTCAAATTGTACAACTAGTCAGTCATGTCTTTAAGACCCCTTTCTTCGTCTTTCTGGTCTAGTGTTTTTCCCACTGTACTTTTTTGAGGTATCAGTTGTTAAATCTGGTTGTAAGTCAAATAATTACTTTATGAAATTAAAAAAAATTTCACAGTACAAAATTTCTCCTTTTTTTCATTGTGTGTAGAAAGCACCAATTGTGAATCCTGAGACTTGATCTTAGAAATACATTTTAACTATAATTAAGATTATTAAATTTCTGAATATTATTTTTCTGACAGGACCTTTATATTTCTGATTTGAAAATTTTATCTTCTAAATGAACATGGTTCTTTTGTCATAAATCATTGAAATGTTAGATTTTTAAAACAAAATCAAGTATTGTGTGTTAATTGTCAATTTGATTATTTCTTTACATATTCTATGTATGTACACTATGGCTTTATTAAGTGTAAGGCTGCTAGTGGTCTAATGGGTACAAGAAACATCACTACTACTAGCACCTTAACTAAGTGCTTAATCCAGAAATAACACATAATGATGTTAAGTCCCTTGTGACATGACACAATGGTAAATACACACCAACAATGCTAATTTTTTACCAAAATGTCTTAATATATGTCCACATGAATAAATAATCAGTCACAGCTGGATTGTTGATTTTCATAAGATAAATTGCCCAAACTATTAAAAAATTTAAGTGTATTAAGCAGGGTCTTCTAGAAGAACAGAAGCAATAGAAGGTATATATAATTATAAAAGAAGATTTACTAGATTGGCTTACATGATCAGAGGCTGGACAGTCCCACAGTGGCCATTGTCAAGCTGGGGTACCAGGGAAGCAAGTAGCTGCTTAGTCCAAGAAGCTGGAAGCCTCAGAACAAGAGAGACCAGTGATGTAGCCCTAGTCCAAGGCTGAAGGTCTGGAAAATCCCTAGAGAGTTGCTGTTGCGAGTTCATATTGAAAGTGTGAAGAAGCTGGAGTCTGATGTTCCATCCACTCAAGAAGAATTAAACTTGTGTGCTCAAGTGCACTTCCCCTTCTGCTTTTTGTTACATCTGAGCCCCATCCCATTAGATGATGTTCACATTCAGGGTGGGTCTTTCTCAACAGTTCACTAACTCGTGTGCCCCCTTTCTCTAGAAACCCCCTTACAAACACACCTAGAAGTGTGATTTACCAACTTAGGCATTTCTCAATCGAGTCAAGTTGACAGCCAATATTAACCATCAGGATAAGTGTCCTAAAGATTAGGAAAAATGTGCTTGCTGATTACTATGAGCATAGCTAGGTCAAGATTAAAGAAATACAACAACCAAATGTAATACATGATCCTTAATTAGATCACATTTTTAAAAAATACAGTACAGTGCATTTTGAGGATAATTTGATAAATTTGAGTCTAGATTATTAGGTGTGTAGTATCAACTTTAAATTTCTTGGTTGTAATAATGATATGAGCATTATATAGGAGAATGTTTTTTGTTTTTACAAATATTCTGATGTGTAGGGTAAAGGATCAAGATGTTTGTAGATTACATTAAAATAGTGAAGGAAAAAATTATTGTTAGCTGTAGATTATATAAGCTAATGTTAACTGCTGAGTCTAAAAGGTTTATTCGTTGTAGCATCCTTTTAACATCTTTGCACATTTCAAATGTGGGAAATTTCTTTAAAAAATAAAAGTACAGGCATATGCTGTGCACAAAAATTAGGCATTAACCTTTTCTTAAAACATTTCAAATATTGGATAGAGAACTGAAAGTACTACTTTGCTGGACATGTTATCTGTGTAAAATTTGCCTCTAATAAAACACTTGCATTTGATACTGGAGAAAGAGGAGATATAGTACAGAGCAAATTCATGTTAGTTTTTCTGTAGTGCCTGCATAAAAAAGGAGAAATAATTGACCACAGATTAATGATATAGAATAATTTCTTCTGACATTGTCCATACAATATGAACACGATCATTCTTTCTAGTAGTTCCATGTGAGATGAGAGTAGGAGTTAATTATAATATATTTACTTTTTAAAGGGTGTGTGTGTTACTTTTTATCAAGTGAGGATGATTGCCAGATATGTTAAGATTAAATGAAACATAAGTCATTTTTATTTTCCAGTAGTGGGTAATTCTCTTCTACCTTTTAAAAGTTACTGATTTATAATTAAAAAGCAACTTTTACACACAAGGAACATTTTATCCTAGTTTAATAATTATATTTTAGCTGTTCTTTAGTTTTAAAAGCAAGAGATATAAAATATGGTCAATTGATTTTACAGAACTACTTGAGAATATAAAACCTTATGCCACAATATGTCATGTGTCATACTGGATGTGTATTTAGTTAAGGACATGCTTGACTGTAACTATTTCCTGCTCTGACAGTACCAAACACATGGTAGAGCAAAGAAAGCATGTGGTACCTTAGCCTGTGCTTCTTTAAGCCCAAACCATTGCATAGACTAAAGGAATAGGTATTTTAAATTGCCTCTGTTTCATAACAGTGAATTATAAAAAAAATGGTTGGTACATTTTTTTCCTGTGTGTGTGTGTGTCTGTGTGTGTGTCTGTGTGTGTGTATGTTTCAGCTAAATCATTGTGGAAAATATTGTATGCCATTTTCAAAAGAATTGGCTTACTTCCTTCAAATAAGGAAAAATCTGCACAAGTTCCGTCACATGATTTTTTTTTTTTTTTTTGCAACATTTCAGCATCTGCTGGGAAAATGGAGTTTCACTGTGACAGAATTAGTAGACGTTACCAGAACACAGGATTAGCCAGATAGTTAAATACTTAATTAACAACAGTTCTTCTTCCTTTTCAAATACATTTCCAATTTGTTTCATGAGTTATCTCTCTCACCCAGGCGCATTGATGATGACAAGGGAAGGACCCATGAGCTGGAGCACTCGGCTATAAAATGTATGAGAGGAATTCTCTACTGCTATATGCGTCAGGCTGATAAGGTAAAACACTGTGGTGTGGACTCGAATTCTCCCATCATTCTGAACAATTAATTTATCCAGTATTGCAATAGCATTTTCTGAAGGAGCATGTACTTTTATAAAGCAAAGCCACATGCTAGGGCAGTCTGAATAGGTTAAAATAGCCTTTTCCTTCCCAGCCCATGGTTTTGGAATCCTGGAGTTGAAGGAGTACTTCAGTAAGAGATGATTGAGATTATTATTTAGACGTAAATTTGTGTTTGCATCTGGTGTTTGCTTGATAAAAATCAAGTCTTGGAGAAACCTCACAAATGTCCCTAATTCTAACCAGTATTATATTACTTTAAAAAAATGCTTGTCAGAAGTACTTTTGGACATGTGAATTGCTCAGGCTAAAGTAATCTTTAAAAATACTTCATTCATTTACATCAAAGAAGCAAGGAGTTATGTACTTTTAGAAAATTGAACTTTCCAAGGTTTTATTGAAATTTCAGAAAATAATATACATGGCATATTTTTTAAACTATAAAGCTTTATATGAGTGTCGTATGCTGGTCCTTCTACCTACCTACCTCTCTGTGTCCCCAAGTCCTAACATAGTAAATGTCCAAATACGTAAATTAATGTGTCATGAGTTCCCAAGACCACTGCCCAATATGATGATTCGCTCAGAGGACTCACATGACTCAACAAATAGTCATATGTATGGTTTATTATAGCAAAAGGAGATAAAGTGTAGTGATCAAAGTGAAAAACTATCGAATATAATCTGGAGGAAACATAATGTCACCTTATAAGAGCCCAGGGAGTCACACAGATGCACTTAATTTCCCCAGCAACTCATTGTAACAACATATGAAAAATGTTACCTACCAAGGAAGCTCTTGGAGGTTCAAAGTTTTTATTGATCAAGGTTTTTATTGGTGGCTGGTCATGTTGGTACTCTCTGCCCATCACTTACCACAATTCCAGCCTCCCAGAAGGAAACCAGGTGTTTAGCTTAAATCACATTGTATAAACAATGTAGCATAGCGAGTCACTCCTATGACAGAACCCTCACAAATCTGAGTTCCTTTGTGCTAGCCAAGGGGAACTTCTTACAAGCAGTCTTTTCTAAAGTTGGCAGTCTCTGTCCTATGATGTTAACTCTTTTCTGAACCATCAGTAACAACTAATATACTAGTTTCTAATATATTACTAGCTGTGTGATGTTAGATAAATTATTTAACTTCTACATACTTCAGGTTTTTTCATTTGTAAAATAAAATACAAATACTTGTAGTATCACCCCCCACATGGTCTTGTAAGGATAATGAAATAATGTAATATCTGAGGTGCTGGTACCAGGTGAACATACAGTAAATATATGCTCTGATATTATTATTTTCCCTCTGTCTTCTACATTATGTACTTCAGATATGTTTTTAACTCTTACTGTTTAGCAAAGATGCATATCAGTAACCATGCAGGCAGTATGATCATTTAATATTTTGTATGTTATTAATCATATGAATATATTATTTTAATTTATGCTTTAAAATAATTTTTAAATTTTATAGAAAACCTTTCTAAACTGTATTTGATGTCAAAACTTTAAAAATAATTTATATTCTGTCACCAGAATAAGGCAACAGGAAAATGTTAGTTGACAGAAAAAGTAAATTTATTTACTGGCTTATAATAGAGATACAGAACAAACCTGTTAAGTTCCTGCTGAAATTTGATTTTGCAGATGATTATTACAGGAGTTTTTCAAATGCTTGAAATCAAATAGTAGGTCATAGATTGGCATGCTGAAATTAAGCTCTTATGTCATATATTGATGTGATTATGATTAAAGTTACTTTTTTGTAAGTGAGAAATTATTGTTTCCAATATATCATTTCATGAATGCCTAATAGCTTTATGAATTCACCTTCTCTCTCTACCAAACATTTCATGTTTGCTAAACAAGCTGACAGACTTAAATTAGAATTGTTTATCAGAAGGAAGGCAAAGGTATAACAGTTTAAGGTATTTTCCTTGTGGCATGGTTAGCCAGGCAGTAATGGCCTTTTCTAAATATAGTTCAGTTTTATTAACCAGTCATCAAAATTATGTTTTCTTTTAAACAGAGCTTGAGTATAACTTAAGCTATTTGAAATCCCTCATTTAAAAAGGATTAGCATTTCTTTCCTTTTGTAGTTATGTATGTGTAGACCATTAAAATGATTGTGAGTTATAGAAGGATCTAGATCATATTGAGTACATACCACAAAATGCTGGACTTATGAGTAAAATGTGCTTTACAAATATTAAAGTATTTTTGTGGTTATAATCTTTCTCGATTCCATAACCCTTTAGAGTAGAAAAGGAGACTGTTATGATGATCCACACATGAGTATGAATGGCTGACTCAGAGAGATTGAACCATGTGCTAATTCAGTACCTCTCACCATACCTCTTCTTGGTGCTCACCTTTCTTTTCCTTCAACCTTGGCCATTTTCTTAATGATATGTAGCAGTCAAAATATGAACATATTTGAAAAATATTAAATATTTGTATTTTGGACTTTCTTTAAAACTCAAGTGAAAGACTTTCATACTGTTCATTTGCTGTTTGACTTTGAACTTTATCTTATTTTAGGAAGTAAAATCATAACCTAGGAATCATAAGGTAAATCATAAGTATAACCTAAAATCATAAGTGAAATCATAACCTAGGAAGTCTAAACCTTCTTCTATTTTGAATTTTCATTACAAAACAGGCTTTCTCACATTTTTTCCAAAAGCACTAGCTAAAAAAGATATTTTGAATTTATTAAGAAAGTGAGTGGGGTAGGCATGGTGACATATGCTATAATCCTAGCACTGTGGAGGCTGAGGCAAGAATATTTAAAGTTTGAGGCAAGTGTGGGCTACATAGCAAGTTCTGGGCCAATGTGGACCATATAGTAAGTCCCTCTCTCAAAAACACACCAAAAAAGAAATAAAAGGAAAAGAAAGAGAAAAAGTAGAATTGCTCTTGATTTATAGAATGTAGAGGATTCTGATTTCTGTATTTTATTATCTTGGCTGTCTTGACACTTCTTTTTATGCCTGCATAGTAATGTCAGGTGTGTTTTGCTCCTTAATGTATGCGCGCACACATGCGTGCGTGTGTGTGTGTGTGTGTGTGTTTGTGTGTGTATTTTCCCCCCTTTGGTGTAATACTTCTTAAGGAGAAGTATTCAGTCTTTCAGTTAATTCAATCTATAGTTGGTATTTTGGAGGGCAGAGATTTGCTTAGCAACAGGCTATGAATGTCACTGGGCCCAGTTATCTACCTCAAAAACGTGTTTAAAATGCTGCTAAGTAGTACCTAATTAATGAGAAATCATTGAAGTATTATGAAATTTATCCTTTCAGAATTCCCTTATGAGATGATTGTTTTCCATTGTGTGTATTTTAAGGGTATAAATTAAGAATGGATCACCAAATAGTTACCTTTTCCTAAATAATAAGTTGTTTATTTGTAATGGTAAAAGTTTTTAGGAAACATCTAAGCAAAATACAAGTTGATTGAGTTTAGTGCAGAAAATTTTGCTTTAATCATTATCTTTACTTGCTAGATGCTAGATATTATATAAAATACTAATTATTGTACTCTTGTATATGACTGCTTTCAAGAGTACTTTTTGTTTATAATTGACATACAACATACCCCATTAATCTTCAAAGCATGTAGTGTTTAGAGCTTGTTTTTTTCCCCTGAAATTTTAAATTACTTGTCTTTTAACAGCTTTAAAACTCAACGTGTAGTTATATAATTCCCCCTTTGAACATCACATTTGCTTTCTCCCTGACACAGTGATTAAATATAAACTCTCCTGCTGGGTGCTTGAATGTCTTGAAGACAAATGACAAGCACCCGCAGCAGTGACTTAACTAAACTGATAAAGCCTTATCCTGTTAAATCCCCATCAAGTGGGAGAATGTATTGGTCTCAGTTTAGCCGTATTTTTGTATAGAAGCCCAGAACAGTGTTCAGAGTTTTGAGACAGTAAGCGTAGTGCTGGGAAAGGAGTGACTATGTTGATTTCTGTTTGTGTATTTACAGGCTATTGCTGGTGGTTTCAGATATTTTGGTGGGTTATCCACCTTCTCTAGGATGTTTTGATCACTGTATAAATAGAGAAAGAAAAAAAATATATATATATATATATTCATTCCTAACCAAACCCTCATCCTCTCAGTCTCGATCTCTTACTAATAGTTCATGTCTTTGATGATCTGGTATTTTAGTCATAGGGAAGTCTCTTATTTGTTTGTGCATACCCTTTAAGGAAAGTAAAATTGTTTCAGCCCTTAACAGTTCTGTCCAGTAGAACTTCTTGTGATGATAGAAATATTCCTTATTATTGTGTTAAGCCATACAGTAACCATTAGTCACATGTGGATGCTGAATACTTGAACTATGGCTGTTGTGACTGAGGAAATGAATTTTAAACTTTAATTAACTTTAAATAAGTCCTAGTTAGCTGGTGACTAACATTTTCAACAGTGTAGGCTTCAAGAGTCATACAATATAGTGAGAGTATAAAGGAGAACTGTTTCTTGTCACAACACTTTTGATAACAAATGTATAGATATTCCATGGCCAAAAAATCTACATTTGGAGACACCAATTGGGTATTCTACAATTTAATTCAATTTTACTAGTAACTACCTGGAGTTAGTGTAGATCCCACAAGTTAACATCTCAGTCCCACAAGACTACTTTCTTCCCCAGATACCCATTCCAAATAATTTGGGAAATTTCCCTAACTTACCCATACATCTGTCTGACTTGGTTACAAATCAGAGGGTCCCACGATCCTTCCTCACATTCATTAATTTGTCATAACACCTCACAGACTCAGGGAAACATGTTGCTATTATTAGTTAATTATAAAGGATGCAAATGAATGGCTAGATATAGTATATAGTGCAAGATCCAGAAAGGTCTCCAGTGCAGGAGGGGCTTCTCTCCCTGTAGACTCTGGAATATGCTGTCCTGACATGAGTTGTCTACTAACCTGGAAGCTCTCCAAACCCTATTTTTGGTGAGTTTCTGGAGGTTCCATTATGTAGGCAAGATAGATTAAATCATGGTCATTGGTGAATGACTCATTTTCCAGCCGACCTTTTCCTTCCTCTGAGGTGAAGGGGAGAGGTTGAGGTGATCCGAACTTCAAATAGGTTGAAAATTCAACATTAATTACCAGCTGGTTCCTCTAACAACTAGCCTGCCATCCTGAAGCTATGTAGTGATATGTCAGGAAGTACTTCATTAACTTCTCATTAGCATACTCTCAGGTATGGTTGAGAGGGATTTACTATGAATAACAAAAAATGCTTCTTTCACATTTATCACTTGGGAAATTCCAAAGGTTCTAGTCTATTCAGGAACTGGGAGGAAAGTCGAATATATTTCATAATATCACAAGGAAGTACAGACAGTTAAAAGTACAAGAGATCAATAACCAAGAGAACCTCCATGATGTAGAAGTACAGAGGAAGGAATTTGGTTGGGGTTCAGAAAGGGGTTTGTAAAAGAAACATTTCTCAGATTGTGTTTTAAGGATGAGACAGTTTTTGAAAGATGGAGATGAGAATATGGCTCTACAAGGTTCTTTAGCCAAATAACAAGGCAAGATCACAGTTGCCTAGGTTTTTTTATCATTTAAATCTTTTCAAAGATGATGATCATTGCTATTGCATATACCTGTATCATTCTGGGTTTTTTGTTCTAATTTATCTTGTACATCCAGGGATTAACATAATATTTGGCACATGGTTGGCGTCAGCAGATAGTTCACAAATTGAATTGAATAGGCCCATAACAATGGATGAATGTGTTTTTTTATCCTTAGAGTTTATCTGTTGGATCATAGTACTTATACTTAGTATTTTAAAATAATTAAGACAGGTAAAATGGCATGAGCCAGTGATCCCAGGTATTAGGGAGACTGAGATGGAAGGGTTCTTGGGTTCAAGACCAGCCTGGGCAACATAGTGAGAGCCCCTTTCTAAAAAAAAAGTTATGTCTAATAAAGGTGTGGCCAGTGACATTTTACAATTAGTACCTTGGTAATGAGAGCATATGTAGAAGGGGAAATGAAAACATGTTCACAGGAGAATAGGTTAAAATTTGTGATCATTACAGAAAAAAATTGCATTTAAAACTTGAACACTTACTATACTAAAATGTGGCCTGCTTGATATGCATTTTCTCATGAGTGTCATGTAAGCATTTTCAAATAACAATATAGTGAAGTATAATCACTAAAGTAAATCAGTCTTTTACTCTAAAATGCAAAACATTGCAAAAGCTATTGCTGAGTTGTTATGATTGTGAAGTAGCAATTGACAATCATATTAATTCTTTTAAGTTAGTTGCTATGAGCTTTGTATCACTTCTTTTCAAAGGTGATATTTGTGCTTTCTTCAGTCCTTTGCCTCATAAGCATGATCTTTACTTATTAAAAAGTTGAGTAAAAATAACTTATATTCTTTAGTTAGTGAATTACTAGCATTATTTAAATTTTATATTTGATTTCCAGGTCCAGCAGTTTAAACAGGATCCACGCCCAACAACATGTCTTCACTCTGTTTTCAATGTGCATACTGGAGATGAGTTGCTCTCTTATGAGGAATATGGTCATCTTCAGGTAAAAAGAGAGGGTTACGATTTTTTTCATCATAGAATATTTGAGGCTATTTAAATTTTTCAAAGTAAATTTCATACATTGTTTAAAATGGAAGTATAAGAGCCGGGGATTTAGCTCGGTGGTTCTGCCGCTTGCCTCACAAGCAAAAGGTCCCGAGTTTGATCCCCAGTTTAAAAAAAAAAAAAAAAAAAAAAGGAAGTATAAAATGAGCTCTGAAATGGATTAGAAAGTGAAATGCTAACCACTAGGACTGAAGTAATTACTGTGATTGAACATTAAATCTGACTGAGTACTTGGGCAAGAGGACATACTATAACATTATTCCTGTCTAGAAGAAGGAAGCCTACCATTCTTTTGGTAAGAAAAACACTTCTTTGTTATCAGATTTAGAAAAATTTCAGCACTTAGAAGTTAGGAAATAAAAGACAATTACGAGTGGTAAAAGTGCATATCAAAAGATTTTGTTACACAGCACATCATTTTAAAATATATTAACCTTCAGTAAAGCTAACGTCATGCCATTAAAATGCCAAAAGGCACTGTAAAACCCATAAATTTTGTCTCATGTTAAATTTTATATCTATGATAAGAATATACTATAGAATTTTATGTTTCATTTTCATTGTTTCCCCCTCTCACCTCTGTATATTGGTGTTTTTTGGTTGTTGTTTTGGTACCAGGGCTCAAACTCAGTACATTGCACTTGCGAGGCAGGCATGGTACCACTGAGCTAAATCCCTGTCATGTATATTGTTTTTTTTCCCCATTAAGTTTATTGATACATTTTAGATATAAAATACAGTTACATTCATCATTGGGATCTTTTACCTTTGTATGATATATCTCGGTTCTTATTTTTTTCCCCTTCCTCTGCCCTCCCTTCACCGCCTTTACCATTCTCTATTTGCAAAGACTTTGTTTCCATTTTTTTTCCTTTTCTCATATTTGCCCTTTTCCCTTCTTTCCTTTCCCCTACCCCTCCCACATCCCCTACTCCTTTAGACCTTTTCTTCCTATCACACAATATCAATTATACATTTTTTAAATTACAATATCAAAATTTATAGGACATTACCACAGATTTTACAGAAATTAAAAAGATATAGAAAGCATATTACAAAAATCCTTTTTGAAATAAATTTGACAGCTTCTAAGAAGTACATTGGAAGACAAATTAATGAAACTGATTCTAGAGGAAATATAAAATTTGAATAGCATCTATTAAAGAAAGTGTATTCCTAGCTTGAAAATTTACCCATATGACAATAACAGGCTCATACATATTTTAACTGATGAATTATGTCAAACATTTGAAGCAGAAAAAAGAACACTTCTCCCCTCGTTTTAGGAAATCAACATTGTGCTAATCCTAAAGCTGGATAAAGACAATAGAAGAAAAAAGTATGAACATAGGTAAAAATTTGTTTAACGAAACAAACTCTTAGAAGTCAGATCTGGCAGTATGTAGAAAGTGGTTTTGTTATAGGGATGGCAGTGTTGGTTCAGCATT